AAGGCAAGTGCTGCATTGATTTTTCTCCAGATTAGAAATGAAATTAAATCTACAAGAGGAAAAAATGTATCCAAATATAAATAGACCTGAGTTGTTTTTGTCGTGGTTCTTCAAAGCTTTGTGCTTATCCAAATTTGTTTTCCATTCCTTCTGAAGACTTGTAGGCAATATACCAAGATGCTGTGGGAAAGGTAGATGGATCAGACTTCTAGAGCTGGAACTGAACTTAAAGAGATCATCTAGTCCTACCCCCATTTTACAGATGGGGAAATGGAGGCAGAAAAAGGTGACATGACTTGACTGACAGTAAGAGGCAGCGAAGACACTGAAACACAGTTCCTTGCCTCTTCCACACTGTCCTGCATGAGGACACAATTTATCACAATCGGGACAAAGTGAGTTCCATAGCAGCATTTTACTGTTACCGCCCAGGGCTGCCCTCCAGTCTGGAACCCTGTGACTGTAACTGACCTACAGGAGATATGGGGTTGTTTTGGCCCACTCTTTTCTCCCCTTCTCTAAACTGCACTCTTTCCCTTGGGGAACCACTCCATGTGGTTCTGGCGGGGATTAGAATCACTGTGCTGGCACCAGGCAGGGTGGACGCACTAGCTGGGCCAGCCAGTTCTGGCACCCTATCTCTCTGGGCTCAGAAATATTGTAGATGAGGTAGTGGACAAGAGACCCAAACAGAGGCAACCGGAGTTGTCTTTGTGAGCAGTATTTGGCTATGGTGAGAGGTTTTTTCCTCCCTTTGTATATCACGAGCAGTGGAGATGGAGGCTTTGGGCTGCCAGGGGCTGTCTTTCCCACCCTGTAAAGAGAACCTGCCTGAAAAGAAGCCAACACACAATGCCCAATAAATTTATTCATTTATAATAACCACATTCCTCTTTTGTGGGGAAATGCCAGGCTATTAAGGGGAGGAGGAAAGCAGAGTCAGAATGCAAAACTCAGGGTTTTTTTTTGCAGTAGCAATTATCCTCACTTTGGGAAAAATATGGTTTTGTGGGGAAAAAAAGATGTACTCACTAGGCTGAGATGTGAATTTGAATCCAGATTCTACTGCTCACCAGCTGCACCAGGCAACTGCAATTAACAGCTGAGTTCCCTGAGCAGATGAGAGGACTGAGTGAGAGGGAGCTAAGTACGCAGCTCAGTGCCCAGCTCAAGTAAATGTTAAATCACATCAGTGTGCCCAAACAGCTTCTCTTTGTGAACTTGATGTCAGCCTGTTACAACTGCTGTGTTCTTTCCCAAAGACTCCTTAAGGCAAAAGAGGTGGTCAGAGCAGGTCATCTATTGTTTGGAGATATATCCAAAGGGGAAGGAAATTACTTTTAGGAGATGGTTGTTTTCCTTTTTTACTACTAAAATCTGTTATGTTCAATTCCATAGCACATTCTAGCCCTCCTAGCATGGGAAGTTCCTTTATTGGACAAAATACAAATGAAATGATTTTCCATCATTAACCAAATTATACTTACTGGGCATCTTTAATGGCTCCCTTAAATCACGTTTTATATTCACTGCTCTTTTACTATTCAGAAAAATAAAGTCTGAAACTTCCCTCTTCGAATGAAACCTGAATCCAGTCGCCTATGGTAGGCTCCCTATTGATTCACTTCATGTCACCTACCTGGAAGCACATGTTTGGACATGAAGTCTTTCCTGAGCTGCACAAAATACTTTATATTTCCTGAAGTAAGGAAATCAAGTTAATAACTCGAGGATGCTACTCTCTAGAGCTGGGAAATGTTAGTTACAGACTTTTATAAAAGGTATAAAAGAGATAATGGTAGATATGTTTGAGACACAGATTTTGTGAGGTTTAACTGCACATATAAGAACTAAAAAGCCAACAAGCTTGTGTATATTTTTGAAATAGAAAGGTTTCTTCTATTTCACAAGGCTTCTGAAGCCACACACACACACACACACACACACCCATTTGCAAGGTGAGAACCCACTGATACACAAAAGGTGGTTTCAGAAAGGTCACAGATTGGAGATGATAAGGCACCAGTGACAATAGCAGAGACAGGACTACCTGATGAACAACAGTCTTCTAGCCCTATGGAATATCAGCCAAAACTCAAATTCAAATTAGACAAGGAGTGCAGCTGCATTAAAGAATGCAGACATTACTGAGTAATGACGTTTGTACAGAGTCACTCTAGGTGTTTCAGAAGTAACATTAACATGTTTGCTAAATAAATAGTCAGATCTCTGGAAACATAAATCCAGAGTGCAAAAAACATATACCGCAGTTAAATCAAAGTCTATTCCCTTTGGTTTGCTTTTATTCGCTTTTTCAAGTTCTGCTCCAACTACTTAAAACCCACATCCCACACCTCCCAGAGTGGGGGAAAAAGGCAAACAGCTGGAAATTAGAAAATGGTCCCCAATCAGGTTTACATGCACACCATGCAACCTGAGCTAAGAGACTTGTATGGTTACCAAAGCAATGAGTAGGAAATATCCTACAGAGATGTTGATAAAACAAATAGTGTACCAGAAAAAGTGGAAATATAAAGCTGATTTGATTGCTTTTTCTTTGTAATCTAGTTTGGTTCAAAGATTTGGGTCGTTTATCCCTAAGATCAAGTAGTTAAGATTTTCTGTGCACCGACAGTCCCTATTTACTCATGGAATCATTTGAGGCACTACCTGTGACTTCGTCAGCGTTTGATGAACACCCCTACAGGTATGTCAGGGGTGAAACTTGGGGATGCTGCCACCACAGCAGTGAACAAAATAAAGAGGGGGGTATGCATACACAAGTACGTGTGCATACACAGATGTGGGTACATCACCTGCTGAATCTTCATGACCATCCCAAATGCAGCGTCCACTATGGCGGAAGGACAGCCTGGCAGTCCTTCTTAGGCTAACCCAAATCTGGTCCAGGAGACAAATGGGTATCAGAAAAGTGTTGACCAATCACCATCCCTCTCTATCTCTCAGGCAGGGTACATCTGGTTGTCAGGAATCCCACTGCATTGTCTGTCCCCCAGGATACATGGGAATTTTCTGAATCCAAAGAAATATATAGGTTCACTGGACTCAACAGTTCGGTGCAGAGCAGTTATTTTCAACTTCGTCCTGATGCCACACTAGTCAAATGAACTACCTCCATCAGCTATGTATCCCATTACACATAAAGAATCTCCAGTGGGGCTGAGGGTGCATCCATCCTGCTCAGCCCAAAGGGTTGTATGAAGAATGGAAGAGACGAGCAGGTGCAATATAAAAAAGCATCACCCTGAGAGACAGGTGGTGAGTCTCCTGGACAACACCCACCCCACCTACCAGTTTCATTCCCAGCCCTTTCCCTGTTTTAAAATTAAGTAGGTTAAAAAAATGAAAAGCACGTAACATAAGAAGCAAAACTGAAGACTTGGGATTCAGAAAGAATGATACATGAACAGCAAGGGTACAGCTGTAACTTTCCCAAGCTAAACAGCCATCAGTGGTATCAGCCACCAGATCTTTACGCGAGAACAGCCTTACACAGAGGTGCCTGAATTGTGCAGGCATACACTGTAATGTTTTCAGAGATGAAAACATTAACAACAGACTCATTTACAAAGTCAAGTTGGAATTTTTTCTCTACTTGTCAAAAAAGAAAACTTTTTAAAGTTGCTTCACTTTTCTCCAGGGAAACAAACTACTCTCTTTCCATTATCTATTATCTTCATACTTCAGAGACAAAACAGTATTTTGCGTTCCGCTCTCCTTACTGCCATCCGCTTAACATGAAACTTCTCCAAGGCTATAAGCCATGTGGAGAAATGTCTCCACAGTGGAAAACAATCACAATGCTGTATTGAAAAAGGAGAGATAACAGCTACTCAGATGTCAGTAAAAAAGTTTTTTACACTCATACTTGTAAAATCTTTGGGATTGGCCAGGGTTCCATTGCCACCTACTCTTGTTTTTCATCTTTTGGGAATTTGTGTTTCTGTAAAATGCTGTCAGTTATGCCACTGTCATGTCAGGGTAAGCCTGCAGCCATCACACTAATCCTAACTATAAGGACAAGGAATGAAACTATCACTCGAGGCCAGCCTGCTGTTCAGATGGGGTCTTGGGCTGACAACACTCTTGAGGGAAGGGTTCAGAAGGTCAAGTTGCCACTTGAATGAGTCACAGAAGTGCCTCAGGCCAACAAACTTCCGGGAGACTGAAGTGGGCAGGGTGCTGATACGTACCTCATTCCTAAGGCTCCAATGCTCATACATTCTATCAAGGTCCTCCTTTTTTTAGTTATAAAACTATTCTGACCTAAAAACTGAGTTGGTTAATTTTTACAAGAGGGGTTTTATTTGATGAGTAGGGAATCCCAACAAAGGAAATTGAGAGGTTTCTCACAAACTGTTCCCCTCAGACTACCGAAAAACCTGACAAACTATTCTTATTCCTAGAAACAGCACCTCTAACTCCACAGTAATCACAGGATTTATTTTCTAGTTTTCCAACCCACTTAGGTAAAATTGCATAGATAATGAAAAATTATTAATATCTGATTCTCCTCAAGATTCTATGGGGACCATTATCTTTGATTTACCACACTGTTCTTAAGACAGATTATAATAAAATCACTTGACAGAAAAACTGGCTGAAAAAATGTCTGGCTTTGATTCAGGAAGCTGATAGAAATTAAAGTTTTTTTCCTGAACTTAAACCTCAGAGCTATAGATAACTTTTTGAAAATGGATGAATTTTTATAAAATGGAGACAATTCAATATTTAATTCAAACAGAATATTAAAAACATTTATTAATAAAGTTCAATACACTCTACAGAATGAAAATGCTATCTTTTCCTATAGATACTTAAAGCTAATGATCCCACTTTTCATTAATATTTGCTAAATCTATATAGCAGCCTCTAGATTTAATTATTTGTTCAGGACCAGACTGAAGCCAAAGACAAACACACAAAAAATGATTAAACTAAACTGTGAGCAGCTGTTTTTAAAAAAAGACTACATACACTTAAAACAGGATTACACACTTTAATCTGATTGACGTGGAGGAAGTAGGGAGGACATGGGAAAAAAACTTAGTTTTAGCTTTGCTTTACGCATAACCAGATGCTCCTTTTCCAGAAAGTACACTAAGGTTTTAAAAACCACATTTTATCAGTATACCTCAGAAAAACATACTATGTGTAATCCAGGAAATACGCTATTTGCAGAATAGGAAAATCATCACGGGCAATAAAAGATTAAAACAAAAGAAAGCACCAGGGTTTGGAGCAGTTCTAAGATGAGTATATCAGCAGAAATAGTACAAATGCACTTGACTGGCTGCTATGGAAACATGCTAATGAGGACTGGTCCATATCTTATCATTTTTTAAAAATGTGTTTCTTTGGGAAAATGTCAATGTAGCTGAGAGTGAAGCTGTCCTTTTAGACACCCAGCTTATTGGCCTGGGTGAGAACAACTTTGAGAACTGGCATGAAAGCGGAGGTCTCGCTGAAGTTGCTGGTGCTCACTATGTGGGTATGGATGGTCAAGCCTTCTGAGTAGTTTCGCATTTCAATGCTCCTTGCAATGTTGTGTAAACCATTGATGATTGTGGGTGAAAGCTGAAATAAAGGTGAAACCAAGATGAAGAATTAAATTAAGGAAGAATTTCCCATGATACCCTCTATAAACATTATACCTCAAATATTTAATAAAAGGAACTTGAAATAAACACTATAACAAATGTATAAATTATTAAGCATTTCTAAAAATAGTTTTTTAGACCAACCAACCCTTAAGCTATAAAACAGAAACATAAGAAAATTATAAGAAAATAAAGTTATTTATGAATTAAACATGTATGATAAAAGCCAGGTATTTTCGGGCTGGCTGAGTGGCTCAGTTGGTTAAGAGCTCGCGCAAGAGTGTGAGCCCTGAGCAACAGCGGTTTGACGCCCGGCCCGAGCTGAGTTGCCACTGAGCTGCCAACAGGTAACAGGATGGCTCAGCAAAAACAAAACAAACAAAAAAACAAGCCAGGTATTTTCTTACAGAAAAGCAGCTGGATTTCCTCCCCCATGCTAAAATGCTAACATCTCTCCCCACTTAAGAGCTTTAAATCTTCAATTATTTTAGATATAGCCTCATACCTTTAAAAATTTTTCCTATGCACGTGAAGGAACTTAGAGATTCTTAATTATGATACCTTAAAATAAGAACCCAATTTATTTAGAACTTGTCTGTAAGAGATCCTGAACTTTTGGTCTACTTCCATTAGTAGGGCAACAGCCCTCATCATGTACTCAAATTCATCTGTTTTTTAAATAATTCTGTCATCTCTTAAAAACCATGAAACTTATAGGTTTTTTCCATGTCATTCCATGCTCACATGTCCATACTTTTGAGGGAAGACTTTATTTTGGATTAGTCCATGGACTACACCACTTTCACTGTTATATCAACTTTTTCTCATTGGTTCTCATGAGATAAATGGTTATTTTTATCTGATGGGATTGAGGTGGGGAATGAGGAAGAGGAATGTCGAAAGACAAAAATATACAAGTCCCAGTTCTTTTTTCCTCTCTTATCCTAGTACTTTCATTAATAAAAAAAAAACTATTCTAGAAAGGAACGGAGAGGTGGGGACAAGGGAACAGAAGGCAGTGGATTTACTCCTGCTGCTGGCTGTCTTCAGTTACAGCACATTCATCTGCTATCTTGTGGCTGTATTTGGCTTTGCCTTTGTGTAACAGGTGCTACAAGAAAAGGGTCAGGAGTCTCAGACCGTGAGAAAGATTATAGATTTGGTCTCTGGAAAACAAAGTATCTTCCCGTTTTGATTTCTTGATTCAAGGGACATATAAAACAAACAGAAGGCCAGTTACCCTAGAGCCAATACAAGTCAATTTGTATTTCTACTCTTACAAAAAGGGCTAAAATTTCTCTGCTAGTCTCTCTCTCTCTCTGTGCACTATCCCCTCATTCCCAATGAATATAATTTAAGATTCAGTTAGAGCAAACCCATTCTGTCATTGTCATGCGAGTTCTGAGCCCAAGCACACTATACCCGAGTGCTGATTAAATGCTTATTTCATTAAAAACCAGGAAAAAAAACGTTTATCATAAATCCTTTTTTTACCCACGAACTTACTGTCTGTTCCCTAAGTTTATCATACAGAAACTCCAGGCGTTTGCTAGCATCGTCTAGCTTCCTCTTGGTTTGCTGCAGGAGAGGGGAGAACAGGTAAGTTATATTTGAACATGAACTTTTATCCAAAAAATATGCCTTATCTCCTTTCACTAACCTTACACTCATGACGTTGAACAGCTTCGTTGTATAAAGAAATGGAGGCAACTATGGCCGAGAAACTTGAACAGACTAATAGAACAGAGGTCAGGAATCTATCACTGGGGGGAAGGCAAGAAGAGATTCTTCGTTCTGCTGTGCAAATGCAGTAGTGGTGGGACTTCACGGGGACTGCCACCCCACCCACAAGCAACAGGAAGGGCCATCTGGGGGCAGCAAGGAGTCAGGGTGCTACAGGAAGGAAGCTCTAAGTACAGTCATGAGAAGTTATGGGTGCCAGAAGGCAAACGTGTAGGTGAACTGGAATCCTGCCTTAACCTTTCAAAAATATTACTTACACACTTAGTCATTTAGTATGTTTAATCCTGACTCTTTCTGAGCCTTTAAAACACCCAGAAAAAAAGAAAACTATCTTCTGGTGACTCAAGACTACTAAGAGGGAAGAAGTAAAATGAGTTCTTAAATTAAGGCGACCCCCCCCCCAGTCCCATCCTAGCACTATAGGTATAGTGAGAGAAAACGATTCTCAACCCAAAACTAAAGGATGAAAATCACAATGTGAGTAATGTGATGAACTACATTATGCAAGAGCTTTAGAAGTGACAATGTTCTTCAATATTTATTGAGTGCCTACTAGGTGCCACGCTGGGGACGCAATCTTGTGTCTCGCAGAGCTCCTATTCTGTTGGGTAGGAAAAAGATACTGAATAAATAATACGTTCTATGTCAAATGGTGATGAGAGCCATGAAGGAAAGTGAGCAGGGTAAGGGGCTAAAGGTGTTGGGAGTGGCGGGGGGGGGTCAAGTCAGGCCTGACGGCTAATGGGACATGTGAGCAGGAGCCTGGAACAAGCAAGGAGTGAGCAATGCAGTTATGTGGGAAGAGTGCCAGGCAGGAGGGCAGCAAGTACAAGCCCCTGATGCTGCCGTGCTCTTGGCACGTCTGAGGAAGGCGTGTCAGTGTGTCAGAAGAGGAGAGAGGACAAGAGAAAGCCATCAAGGCTTTCTTTACAACATTACAAACTACGTTGTGCTTCAAGGTTACTTTGTGTTGTTTGGACGTAATTAAAGGGAAAATAGGAATACTATAAAAATGATTCCAGGGGACGGCCGAGTGGCGCGATGGTTAAGAGCTGGCTTGGGACACCAGAGGGCCCCGGTTCAGATCCCAGATATGAGGGCCAGTGACACTGCCCTCCACAGCTAAGATGCTGAACAACAGCTCAACCTGCAGCTGGGCTGCCGTGAGTTGCCGGTATCAGCGTAGGCTGCAGCCCCTGTGGCAGTGGGTTGCCATGGGCTACTGTGTGTAGCCAGCAGCCAGCGTGAGCGGCCAGCAGCTGCAGTAATTTGCCATCCAGAGGCCAGTGACTGATCTGCCTCGCCCGGGAAGAGTGCAATGATGGTGCCAACTTGGGCCTGTGAAGCAACATCCTCCACAACTAGACTGAAGAACAAAAGGACAGCAACTTGTCTGTTCCTCTTCCCCCAGTTCCCCAGTGCTGTTCCCATCCCCCCAATTTCCTAATAAAAATCTTAAAAAAAAAAAATGATTCCAACTATTGATTAAAATAGACTTGCGTGGAGGGGACTCTTTATAGTTCCCTGTTCAAAGCTAATCTCATATGGCTACCAGCAGGAGCCCTACCCCAAGGGGGCAGGGGCAGCTGAGCAGGCAGAAGAGAATAGATGAGCTTCCCTGGCAACTAGTCACAGGAATTAGAAGAACAGCTTGTCTTTTGTGGTTCTCTGCTGCCCAGGGCTCCTATGGGTCCAGAAAGAAGATGGCACGGTGACCTAGAGGAGGTTAAGCTCAATAAAAACTTACTGAGCTGGGCAATGAATTATGTGTCCTCCCAACCTCTCCATGCTGACTCATGCCTGAAGGAGGACTGGCATTTCCCACATTTTTACTGGGACTCCTCTAGTTTTGAATGACTGTGGCCTATCTATTTAAAGACTGCCCATAGGGGATGTGTTTACCTGGCTATCAGCTTCGTCTGCTCTGTTCTAGCTTGGTCTTTCCATCACTCCTAGAATGTCAGGCACTAAGGTTTCTGTTAACCTTTCCCTGCCTCTCTGCTTTCCTGATACTTTCAGCACAGGGAATTGCTTTCCAAAAGAACAGCGGAAGGCTGCACACACTAATACTCAATGTTGATAAAACAACAAATTCCAGAAGCTGTTTTTCAAGCAGACAAGTGGCCAGTGGCTAAATAAGTCTATTCAACATTTGCTGGCAGAAATTGAAATTTCATCTGAAACAAAACTGGCTTTGTGGAGTTTTTGTTGTTGCCAATACATATTCTCTAAGTAAACTAAGTAAAATTAGTTGCATTAACTATGACTATGACTCCAATCAATATCTAAAACATTTAACTATTTTTAAGATCTTTGCAAAGTTACGTATAAGATTATCTACTGTTAAAAGCTTTGATGTAAGCTTGGGAAAAAACCCCGAGTCTGGATGTTTTGCATACCACCATTCTGTTCTGTTTAATGTGCCAAACATAAGGTTTGCTGAGGAGAAATGCACACAGTGGCTGAGAGCATTAATTCTGGAGCCAGACTGAGTTTGAATGCTGCCTCTGACCTTGGGTGGTGCTTAACTGCTTTTGCCTTAAGGTCCTCATCTGTAAAATAAAGGTGACATATCTACCTACCATGGGCTTGTTGTGAGAATTAAATAAATTTATATATAAAAAGTAACTGAATTACATTTTTATATGTAAAGCAACCTATATTAAGCACTAGCTTTATTACTTTTGTACAAACTTTAAAAATATATCTTGTAGGACTTCAAGCAATAATTACAGAACTTCATAAAGGATTATTTTAATTAAGCAAAATATGAGAACAGATACATACAGGATCTGTGGCTGAAGAGAAGCAGCGCTGGATAAGATCCTCAAATGTGGTCTTTAGAATGAGGTGCTCATCTGGAATAGGTTTCTTGGTGATTTTTTCTGTTGGCAAAGACTGCACTTGCTGGAAGAAATAATACAATAAAATGAGTAGAAATGACCAGAAGCTACCTATACACAAAGCCCTGAAACTCTGTGTTAGAGAGAAACCAATGACCTTGTGGACAGGCTATTCAAGACCAAATGGAAAATTAACATGTGAAATCACTTAAGTAAAAATGAAAATCAGATATCCAGTAAAGGTACAGGTACTCCTCCTACAACTTTGATTCTCAATAACAGGACTGGATATGAAGTATTTAATTAATTATGGCACATATGTTGATCACTACTGCATTTAACTGGTGGGAAATAGACCTGTGCCACAAGGAAATAAAAAGAACAAGACATTTATAAAGTTGGCCGTTTAGAGAGGCTGCTTGTTCTGAGTGTCGGCTCATTTTCCTCTATCTGGCATTCTTTTATTCTTTAGTTTACTCTTGGAAATTGTTAACTGGGCTATTATCAAACTGCAAGATTAAATCAAAGGTTAGAAGAGACCATGATGTTACTGAGTATAAAGATGGAAAAACAAAGAAGGAATGTTTACATTTTTAAAGTTTTGATTTATTAGTTCATTTATTCAAAAAATATTAGGCAATTATGGGCCAGGCACTGGTATGTACTGGTTTGCCAATACAGAAATTATCTCTGCCCTCAGGGAGTTTACAGGCTAATGTAAAATAGCAACTATGGTAAGTTAACATCAGTGGAACCAAAAGACAATGTAACTGAGGGGAAGGCTGTCTTTAGAAAATTATATTGGAAGGGTAAGTAGGACTTTACCAGTTAAATGGGGAAGGAAAAGCATTCTAGATGGAGGAAGAACATGTACAAAGGAAAGATCATGATACAAGAGGACTAAAAGCAGGCCAGTGTGGCTGGAGCAGACAGAGAGCAGGGGAGTATGAGCTGCGGCCTTCCAGAAAACGTGAAATATTCTGGTCTTTTCCTGAGAACAAGGGGAAGCTGTAATGTTTTAAGTAAAGAGGAGACAAGCCCAGATTACAGATGGATCAAAGTATTATAGATGTTGGCAGACCAATTAGAGGCTCCTGCACTGTTGTGGACTGGAGATGAACATAGCATGGACCAGACTAGAAACGCAGAGAAGGGATTTGAGAGATTTTAAAGCAATAACAAGATTTGGGGATAGATTTGAAAAAGAGGTCAAAGGAAAAAGAGTATAAAGATGTTCCCAGGTTTTGGCCACACTGAATAGAAGGGATTATGGTGCCACTCACTGAAACAGAAAACACCCAAAGAAGACTAGGTTTGGGAGGAAGACCATGAATTAGGTTTTGGACATGTTGAGTGTGAGGTGCCTTGAAGACATTCAAGTAGGCAGGTAGCTGAATATTATGGCCTGCCTAAACACACATCTATATAGTTCTCTCCTTCATTAGTAACTGAGGTTCTGGTCTAGATGAGTATAGCATGAGCACCCAGGTCTTAACATAAGTGAATGGCTGGGTAGCTTCCCAAACTAACAAATATTTGTAATCATAAAAAGAAATTAACAATACATCTTTATAATTTATGTTCTTGTGGAAAGAAGCAAGTCCTCCCACCTCCATCAAAACACTGGTTTTTGGGGGCCGGCCGAGTGGCTCAGTGGGTTAAGAGTGTGAGCTCTGAGAATCAGGGTCACCAGTTCGATCCCCACATGGGCCAGTGAGCTGCGCCCAAGCTGAGCTGCCAACAGGTGGCAGGATGGCTCAGCTGGTGAGAGCAAGTGCTGCTAACAACAAGGATGCCAGTTCGACTCCTGCAAGGGATGGTGGGCTATGCCCATCCACAACTAAGATTGAACATGGCACCTTGAGCTGAGCTGCCCTGAGCTGCCTATGGGAGGCCCAGATGGCTCAGTAGTCAGAGCGAGAGCTCTTAGCAACAAGGTTTCCGGTTCAACTCCCACATGGGATGGTGGGCTATGCTGACCCGCAACTAAGACTGAACACGGCACCTTAAGCTGAGTGGCCGTGAGCTGCTGACAGGCAGCCGGATGTCAACTGGACTTGGAGCTGAGCTAGCTACGCCCTCCACAACTAAGATTGAAGGACAACAACTTGGCTGTTCCCCTTCCCTAATTCCCCAAAAAAATCTGAAAAAAAAACAAAAAAACAAACAAACAAACAAAAAAAACAAAAAACAACCAAAACACTGGTTTTTTTATAAGGCAACTTAATGTTTAGAAATTCTTTAGGCAGAACTATCTCTTTACAAAAAAGCATACTCTTGTGATAGATATACAACTGTTACAAATTTGAGTTCAAGTCAAAAACAAAAACAGAAGAATTAGTTTTATACTTGGGCAGGAATTTGTTTCATCTTATGTCAAACTTTGGCCCAAGCTTGCTACTTTTCATGAATAGATAAAAATGTGTATCTTTGTGTGTCTAGTCAGTTATATGGAAATGTAATAGATTTTTCATCATCTAGAACCCTGCCAACTAACAGTGTGTATGTAAAAAGCAAGTACAAATTTATATCTCCATCTGAAGATAAGGCTCTATACTATATTATTAGCTCTTACAGGTACACAAGAAAAGATATAACACATGACATTTTCATTTTACAATTTAAAGGGAAAAACCTTTGGAAACAGCTTCTGCTTAGCAACCTTGGAAGCAAATACTAGATTCAACTGATCTTAAAATTGTGGCTACTGATTAGGTCAAGTGAAATACTTGCAGTTGCCAAGCTATTGTAAACATACACTAGCAAATATGTAAGCCCCCCTTCTAGGAAGTTTGTATATGGCCATGTAATATTATTGAAAAATAACATGCATTCATGATCTATCTTTACAAAAGGGTTACTATTTTTTATTCAGTTTGTCTAAATGAAACCAAATCTAGATGCTTGTTAATTACGGTATAACCATAGAAGTTAACACATTAAAAAAAATGTACTGAAATAGAGCCATCTCCCCATTCCACTTCCACAGGTTTACTGTTACCTGGATGGTATTTCCAATAGGAGCCCCTGGGGCACCCTCGACGTTGGGCTTTGAGAAAGATGGCGGCACGCCTGGTTGACCCAGGGGTTGCTGTATGCCGTGGAAGGAGGGCTGGCCACCTGGAAGGTGTGGCTGTGGGAATGACGCTTGGCTGGGCAGTGGTACTGGAGCTGAAGGTTGTTGCTGCAGCATCTGTGACTGGGGGTCACCCAAGGGGTTCATGATTGGCGATGTGATGGGAACAGGAGGCATAAAGTTTTCAGGCATCTTTTCAAAGATGGTAATAAAAGAGAACAAGAGAAAAAAAAAACAATAGCAACATTTCCTCAGCTTAAGTAAGGAAGTTAGACTATTCCATGGTTAAAAACATTTTTTTAATACTAGTAGAATACTTTTCAAATGAATGTTATGTAGAATTCTAGAGTAAAACATAAAAGTAGAGCTAATCTGGCTAAGAGGGGTGGAGAGCTCAAACCCAGACTTGTCAGTTTCCCCTTTGTCATCCACACTTACTCCCATAATGAGGAGCCAACACCATGGTGTTTTTGAAAGAGGTTGCCCAAGTCTGGAGAGTTTTATCTAGCAAGACAAAACTCAGCTATGCCAAATGTGTGTCTGTGTGTTTCATACGATCATGATGAAATAACCTTTTCCTGGATCACTAAGTAGATGATCACCTGTCAATCACACTAATAGATTAAGTTTCTGATTATTACTAACTTAATCTGATTTTCTTGCTCATTTAGTATCTCCCAATTTTATGTTATGGCCTCTCACTATATTTAGGGGAAGATCACTAGGAATTAAAAAAAAAAAAGTAGAAAATGGCTTGGGAAGAAAGAAGGAAAGAAGAATCTTATCTTGTGTTCTAACAGCTTTCAATAGTTACGGACATCTAAACAGTACTCAGCTACAAGGCTATTTCTTCATTCATACTATATGTGATAGAAATGGCCCAAAATATAATTACCAAATTCATGATTACTGTTGGAACCCCAAAACCAAAGTAACTCCTAAAGAAAAATTCATGTGAGAAGTCTACTCTTTGAGTTTCCTACTCTTTGAAAGATCTGTTGGGAATTTACATCTTGTCTTCTAAAAGGGGTTTAATTCATACCACCATCATGTTTTCTATTTTCTTTCCTTCCCTTCATGGATTAGAAGACATTAAATTGAAATACACTTTAAATATATCAGTCAGTAAGCTTTGCCTTTAAAAGGATCAGTGAAGTGTGGTGTGTTCCAGGTGGCTATGTGATTAACAGAACATCTGTAGGCAACTGGGTGGACATCTTTTCCAAGTACCTTCTTCTTCTTGGGTACTCTGTTCAAAGCTGGAGGATCATTCCAACCATTCTGAGGACCTATAACAGACAACAGAGAGCATTTTCCTTTAGAATCCTGAAAAGACTAAAACTAAATTGTATCCATCATAGTACCTTCGAATTCTGCCTTAGCCCTGAGATAACTATCGCAACATGTTTTACCAGCTGAGGTGTGGGAGATCGCTATGTAGCCCTGGATTCTCACTCATTACCTCTAATAATCACAAGGCCTTGGCTTAGTAGGCAAGAAACCTTGATATTAAAGTGAAAGAGCTGTGCTAACTTTAAGGACAATGATGAAGTCTTTAAGTCTATATAGATACATAGCCTTCAAGATCTGTTAACAGTTCTCTCCAAATAAAGAAAGAAGAAATCACTTGAGTCTGCTTTTAAAAAGGCTTCTGATAGACAGCATACAAAAAAGAATAAAAGTTCTCTATTTCCCAAGAGAGAAATTCAACATAAGCAAATCATCCACATGGTACAAACACTGTTTAAAAAAAGCAGAGCCCAACTACACAACATCAGTAATTTGTATCATCTTTGCCTTAGAAATTACTTACAAAGTAAAACAGGGCATTCAGATATTGATGATAAGATTTTTTAATGCTACAAAACAAATTCCAGGCTGGCAGCAAATGTAAAATTAAGCTACTATCAACTTTAGTAAATTTCCTCTAAAAAAACAAAACAAAAAAACACCCTGTCATCTCAAAGTGAGAAATGAACTTAAGTAGCAAAACTCATTTAGTACTGCAATGCCAGTATCTTTAAAGAAAAAAAGGAATAAAACATGCCAGACAAGGTGGGATAATTTTTAAATCTCAATATAAGCATGTTACATTTCACTGAGTTTTGTGTATGTGTATATATAAAGACAAAAAAAATAAAGTCGTTTCTCTTTCAATCAAATATCCTTTCAGTATTTTACCTTTTCCTTGTTTCATTGATACCCATATTAAATCACAAAATTGCTTAGCAAACCAAAGAATCCATGATTCATACAGAATGTCAGTTTTTTAAAATAAGATCTTCTAACCAGCATGTATGATTTGCCCTGATTTTAAAGACAGAATTAATTTTCTACAAGTTTACTAAAAGATAGAATGCCAAATGAGCCTCAAAACACTCAAAAGCTAATCACAAAATATTAAGCCACATGCTGCTATCTGCTTAACAAATTCTGAAAGTTCTAGCCATACATTGATTAATCATTCAATTTTATTCATTTCTAAGAAAATCTTGGTATAGACGTTGTCTTTATGTCTATATGAAATAGAAGACTTTTATGATTTAAAGCTATTTGTGTCACCATGTTAATTCAATCAGTTCTAATATCTGATTCATTAAGAAGCCAAATAAAAAATTGATACTGATCAGATTTAGGATATCATCAGCTTTGAAGTTCACATGCATTATTGTGAATGTCCAATCATTAATTGCATTCTATGATTCAGAGATTTCCAGAAATATATTTTATAACCAATTCACCTTCCAACATACGTGCCTGGTCTTGCATACACTCATTTTCTGTAGACAAAATGTAAAAGTCACTTAAACAATATTATCATCAAAGACATTCTAAAGTCTGCTTTTCATTTTATAATTGTTTCTTCTCCCTCCATCAACTCCCAGAAAGAACTAATTTTATAAGGGAATGAAACTTACTATTTAATCAAGTCATGTGAAATGTCTTTTATCTAATTAAGAAAGTATTCAGTTTTGGGGTAAAGCAAATTCATTTAAGTTGTGTCAGTCAGTTCCAATTACTCTTAAATATCACTTTTTTCCCTTAGTGTGCTAGCTGTCTCTTTTAAGAGAAAATTTTGTTCCTTCCTATTTAAAATAATTTTCCCCCAATTGTTTGCATGAATTATTTTTCTAATTGATCAATGAAGCTCAGAAATATCGCTGGGGAAGAGCACTTCCTAACATACTATAAATAATGAGTCCATTTTAGTGTGTATTTAAAGCCGTGAATCTAAATCAGCTGAAGATTTTGTTAAAATTCAGATTCTAATTCATATAGTGTGGGGCCTGCTCCCAGGTAATGCCAACGCTGCTGGTCAAAACCCTTTTTAAGTAGCAGGGAGTCAAAGTGAAATGGGAGGATTTCTACATTGGCCTGCAGACTTCAGCACTGCACTTGTTAAAGATAAACCTGTCAGACAATCTTAACAAGGTGGTGCCACTCCACTGCTGGATTTGGGAGGCCCCAAATGTCTGCATTCTGGAGAAGCTGTAATTTCTGGGGTCATCTCATGAATGTGATCATACATGAGAACTGGCCAAGTAAAAACCACCTCATATGGTGTTTTCTGAAAAAATGTATGGATATGCAGACTGTTTAGCACAACTTTTCCAGGTATCACGACTTCTCTTAAGGGAACTGGTTTTGGCCAGTGGACAAAAGGAAAGAAGGCTGAAAACTAGCACAGCAATTCCAACATTGTCAGATATTCACGGTCAGGCCAGGACCAACCTCAAATCAAAACCATGCAGTGGAGGTACATCGCATGCACACAGATATAACTTGGGAATTCAACTATCTTCATTTGGGGAGAGAGGAACCAAGACAACAGAGCAATTAATTAGTGATTTCGATTCAGTTTGAGCTCTACAAAAGGACCACGTGCCTAGGAGAAATATGGGAGAGGTAATCCCATAGCTTGAAATCTCACTGTATGGAGTTTATGCATAGATGCTTTTCTATCCAATATGGCTCCTAAATATAAACCAACTTCTCCATCAAGGGCTTAACTGAAGAAAGGAATGCTCACAAGATAATTGGCTATAAGTGATTTCCTATTTTTGCCTTAAATGATGACTTTACAACCTAACTCCCCCTGCAAGATATGACCTCATAGCACTGTAGTTAAGAAACCCTGGGAGTCACGTGTGCATTACAACAGAGGACTGACCTGATTGGCAGCTACTAATGTACTCTCTAGCACTTCAGCTTCTGGGCAGAGGGGCGGATATATTACAAACCTGAAAATACCTTCATCTTGACTCTCTTTTTTGAGAAGTAGTCCCAAAAACATGTCCTCCACCCCTGCCCCATGAGGGGCAAAATCAGAAGAAGAGAGCAGTTCTTCTTCTAACCTCTCATGGTGTCTTAATCTGACAGGGTACCCTGCCTTCACAAACTATGAGCAGCATAAAAAAGTGTGTGGAGCAATTTCATATGTCCCTTAGGTAAAATGACACCAAAGCTATAATGAAATCAAATCAAACTCAAAAATTATGACTGAAACTGAAATCAATTCAGAAACAAAAAGATTCTCAACAGGAACATATAGCCAGGTGGCTAGCCCTAATAACTTGAGGGTGGGTGGGGTGTCTGTTGGACAGAAAATAATGGTTGCACAAAGTTCTCCACAAAATATATGCCCGACTCCTCCAGACCTCAAACCATGCAATATATTTAGCCATGTTTTATTTCCGCCCAGATAATAACTTGTTCAGATCTCTTATCAATTTAATGCAATTTTGTCTCAGCTATAATTCTAACCTCTTTCAACCTTTTTGCTTTTATGTCTTTATACTGTTTAAATATGACTTTTAAAGAAAGAAATATACTTTAATAGCAACATCAGCAAGCTAATTGAAGAACATGAATATCTACAAAAGCAAGTATTATGGATGTTCATTGGAGACGTGCATAATGATACTCTTGGTCAGCATTTGAAAAAGCAACACAGCAACTGGCCATGTATCCCAGCCAGCCGAGCGATCCTGCCGCACCTCCGGCCAAGAACTTACCAAAATGCCATCTCAAATGAAACACGCCATGGAAAGCATGATGTTCACGTTGCACAAATTTGCTGGGAATAAAGGCTAATTAACAAAGGAGGACCTGAGAGTGCTCATGGAAAAGGAGTTCCCCAGATTTCTGAAAATCAAAAAGACTCTCTGGCCATGGACAAAATAATAAAGGACCTGGACCAGTGTGCAGACCGCAAAGTGGCCTTCTAGAACTTCTTTTTGCTAACTGCTGGGCTCACCATCGTGTGCAATGATTATTTTGTAGTACACATGAAGCAGAAAAGAAAGAAGTTGGCAGCACTGAGCTCCTGCCCTAATAAGAGTTCTTCCAATGAGTCACTTATTGGAATCTCTGCCCCACAGCTTCCCCCATGTAAGGATTTCACGAGCAGGTTGGGACCCTTAGAAAATGTACAAATAAAATCCCTCCCTCATTTGACAAGAGAAAGAAAAGCCAAATAAAGCCAGATTTTTATGTTGCTTGCATCCTCTTGTCCTCAATAAACAAATTTCATTTTTAGTAAATAAATAAATAAATAAATAAATAAATGACACAGCATAATCTAATCTGGAACATAATTATCTCATAAAACTGTAAAGAGGAGATAATCGTTTTTACTCTGTCAAAAAACTATAAAAATGGGGATAAATCTCTTTCATACTTTTAAAAAATAGCACATGACTTTAAATGGCACATGACTAAAAAAAATGGTTCATGGTGTAACATTAAGAAAAAAAGATGCAAAATTATATGTGTTATGATCTCAATTGTTTAAAAATGCACACACACACAATGAGATACTACTTCACACCCATTGAATGGCTAGAATTAAAAGAAAAACAAAACAGAAAACAACAGTGTTGGTGTGAATGTGGAGAAATTGGAACCCTTGTACATTGTTGGTGGGAATGTAAATTGGTGTAGCCACTGTGGAAAAACAGTACGGTGTTTCCTCAAAAAATGAAACATTGAATTATTATTTGATCCTGCAATTCCACTTCTGGCTTTAGCCCAAAAAAACTGAAAGCAGGAACTTGAACAGATATACGTGTATATCCATGTTCATACCAGCATTATTCGCAATAGCCAAAAACCTCATGTGCAGATGAATGAACAAAATGTGGTATACACATACAGTGGAATATTATTCAGCCTTACAAAGGAAAGACATTCTGATACATGCTACAACATGGATGAATCCTGAAGACAGTGAGAACAGCCAATTACAAAAGGGCAAATATTGTATGATTCTACTTATACGAGGTACCTGGAGTAGTCAGATACATAGAGGCAGAAAGTGGTTACCAGAGGCCGGGGGGAGGGACAGTTAATAGTTTCACTATGGGATAATGAAAAAGTTCTGGAGACAGATAGCAGTGATGACCGTACAACAATATGAATGTTCTGTTACTGAACTATATCCTTAAAAATGATTAAAATGGTAAATTATACGTTATGTATATTTTAACCATATTTTAAAAATCTTTTATTACATGCACACTTAAAACATACATACATGTATGTATATATGTTTTTGAAGGGAATAAATAAACCTAAATTATTAGTGGTTATATTTAGGTGGTAGAATTATATTAATAATTTTATTCTTTATACTATTTGGAGTATTTCAAAACCCTACAGTGCGAAATAAAAATCAAGGGAAAATTAATTTAAAAACTGAATATGCCATGTCGCTGGATATGTAGACCCTTATCCCCATTAACGTAGGGGTTAGTCCTTCACAGGCCTTTGGGGAAGAAATGGAACAGCTTGGTTGTATATACACAAGTGGAGCTGCATACCATCCTTACCTGAATCCCACTTCTCACTGGGAACCTTCGTAGCTATTCTTGCAGGAACATAATGATAGGATTTATACACTGGCTAATACTTTTCAGTGGACTCACAAAATATTAGCGCTGATGGTATAGAGACTTTTGGCTAGAAGATAATTTGAGATGAAGAGAATAGAGTATCCTTGTCAACAATATATATCTCCTTTCCCCTAAACTCCCAGCATGTCACATTTAAAAAAAAAAAAGTGACAAAATTAAAATTTATGAAGACACGAATCTTTAAGGTTATTTCCAATGATATAAAACAGAACTTTTCCTCCAGGGAAACCCTAGACGCTAATTCGAAAAAACATATGCACCCCTATGTTCATTGCAGTGCTATTTACAATAGCCAAGACTTGGAAACAACAGAAATGCTCATCGGTAGACGACTGGATTAAGAAACTGTGGTACATTTACACAATGGAGTATTACTCAGCTATAAAGAAGAAGGAAATCGTACTATTTGCAACGATATGGATGGACCTAGAGAACATTATGCTAAGTGAAATAAGTCAGTCGGAGAAAGACAAATACCATAGGGATCTCACTTATATGTGGAACCTAAAGAACTAAATAAATGAGCCGAGTAAACAGAAAAATAACATTACTCAAAATCAAAATAGGAGTGAAAATGACTTTATCTTCAGAATCAATAAATGCGTGTTGTCAAAAAAACAAAAACAAAAAACACCCCAGAACTTTCCCAAAAAAGTAAGGAAGGCTATCATGCTCCTTTCCTTCATTTAAAAGGTTAAAACTAAACCCTTATAATTTGACTAAGAAATATTATGAAAATTAAAATTTTTTCAGAATACTGTTTCATGAAAATATGCAATATTATGCCCCTTCAAGACTCTTCCATGAGAAGAAGCACAAGACTATATACCTAAATTAAATCTTCCATTGTTTAACAAAATTGATAATGTTCACTCAAAGATAGATTCATGACAGCTTGCAGGTCATTTTATCAGAAAACAATTCTTTTTTTCCGTAAAATTCTAGGGCCTCCTATTTGAAAGTGCTCATCCTTAGTAACAAGCACACATTACACCAGGGACAAAATGACACAAAAAACTGACAGTATCCTACTTATCCTATACAGTAGAACAAGGAAAACTTCCTGCTTTCTGTGCTGCCACTAGTGAACCAATATTTCACCATCCTAACTCAGGCTGTTAAACGCATTACACCCAGAACTGGGAGAGAGCCTGCTTTCCTTGTCTCTGATTCTGGCTTGCTACCCAGTCTGTTATATAGGACCATCCCGACTAACCTCCCTCAAGTACCAATTCAACCATGCCTCTGAGCAGTTCAAATTCCTTCATTAGAACTATTCTGCTTACCGTATAAAGTATGAATATAAAATTCTTGCCTTGGCATTTAAGGCTTTTCAAAATTTGGCCCAACTACAAAATTTATGTTCTAACTTATAACAACCTATGTGCTGTTCACTAGAAATGTACTATCTTTTTCTGCCTCCATACCTCTGCCTGGAATAATTGTGATTATAGGCTGAATAGATACTCATTAAGAATTTACTGAATGAATGTTTTGATGATTGTAACATTAGTTTCTCTGAGCATGGGCACATAATTTTGTGGTTCCCTAATAGTCTGATGGCTTGAAAATCCCAGTGTCTGTCAAGAATCACCCACTGGACAAGCAGAATTTCCAAGTCCTATCGAGAACCATGATAGGATGGATCTAAGACACCATAGAACAAAGATAAAATTTTCAGTCACAATTACTTATATAACCTAGGCAAAATTTTTAGGAAATAATATAAGACTGTAACTATTAATTAAAATATAGGAGACTATTACCATGCAAGAAGTAACAGAGCAGCTAGCTTAGTGCATGCTGAATATTGAAAAAGTTTGTTTGGCTTTTTCTTCCTATTAGTCAGTCACTTTGTTTCTCAGCCAGGTTAGAACATTCTGTTACTTAGTATATAAGCAAAGACTTTGTCTCATGGGCCAAATGCACTTTTGCTTAAGAAAAAGATATCCATGCAACTATTATACTTATTTAACTTAGATGATGAAGTAACAAATGCCTAAAACATTGTGGCTAAATGATTTTTCTAATTCCAACACTGATAGCTATTTCTATTACACCAGGACTACACTACATGGTAAAGAAGAATGAACATCGGCTTTGAAGACTGAGAGACCTGGATTTGTATCTCAACTTGGTGACTATTGCAGTGTAATCGTGAGAACATAAGACAACAACTAGGAAGTTCAAGTTTCCTCATGTCAATTTTTAAAAAAATAATTATTCTTATTTCTCATAGCTGTGAGAATTATGTAACAAAATATTTATCAAGTGCTGATACATGTCCAATATATGTTCAATAAATGATAATTCACTTCCCTATACTACCTTTAAAGTGGGGATTTACTCGAACCCATCTTTCTGTCGCAAAATCAAGTACCGAACTATTCACTGTAACAATGTGGAGACTGTCTTCATCCAGGTTTTAAAAGGTAATTTTTTTAACTCTACAATTGAATTAGCACTTCTCTCTAACCTGCTGAAGTATGTGTATTGAAAAGTCTAGAAATTTTATTTGTGCAGTAAAGGATGGCACATAGTGTGTGTGTGTGCACACACATGTGTGTGTGCGTGTGTGAGATTTTCGGTACTTTGGACTTATTATAATATTACATACCAAAGAAGAGAGGAAGAGGCATGTATATACTTTTGGATCCATAAAACTTTATCAGAAAAGAATATTTTCTTAATAGGTCCTATTTTTTTATAAGTGTTTTTAGCAATTAAAGCTACTACTTAGCACATAAAAGGAGAAAACTATACACTGGGCTCCCCAGGAGCAACTTCAGTATTAGGAGCAAAGCAAGAATCACTCGTCTTTTTGTCCCTCTAGTTCAAAACCATGTTATAATCCGAAAGAGAAAATGCACAGAACTCTAATTTTAAGTGAGGTTTTGTGTAATCAAGGCTAATTTTGCAGTCATTGTCCCTAAATGCTTTTAATGTATTAATTCATTCAATCCTTTTCATGAGCTTATGAGTAGATGCTATTATTATTTTGAGGAAACTGAGGCTTAAAGAAGCTAAGAAACTTACTCCAAGTCACATAACTAGAAAGTAGTGAAGCTGGGATACAAACCCAAGAAGTCTAATTTCAAAGCCTGCATTCCTAACCACTATGCTATTGGTTCTTAACCCTGACTCATTGATCCCTTTCCACAGCACATGTTTTTGATGTCTCTTTTACTATCACCAAATGAAAATCAGACAATATAACCTAACCATAAAAAGTTAAGATAATGCTCTAATTTTAACATGAGAAATAAAAAATTCATAAAATGTGTATTTCACTATAAAAATAATTTTTAATTATGATTTTAATTAGAAAATTTCAGGCCAAACTACACCAGACCAAAAAAAACCACCTAGAAATAAAATGTTTGAGAGGGTGGTACTGCCCTAAAGGAGAACCAGTATACTTATAAAGTACACTTTCTGCTGTGTTAGTGAGCCTGTAAGTTGTGTTCTCTCACTTTTTCCTTTAGATAAGCATATCAAGATCCCTCCTCACTTTTACAAATAAATATAATTATAAAATTTGTACAACCTCACTAAGACCCTGTACTGTTTAACCTCCATGAATGGGTTTAAGGCAGAAATAATTTTAAAAATTGACTTCTCAGTAAAAACATAGAGCATAGTTTTGCTCTTGTAAAGAAATTAGTGTCAATTAAATCTGGTTCCAATCACCACTTATCTTGCCAATTAATTTCTTATCACTTAGTTTAACTTCAATGCAGATTATACACTCTTGCTCTTTTTAGCTCTACAGCTTTCCTCATTTAGAAACTCAAGTTCATTATGGGAGAATCACACTTCTAGAAATAGTTTTAGAATTTGATATAAAAACTCAATCAACACCTCACATTACCCAGTATACAAACAGTTAGAAATAATTCCCCTCTATCCACCCATGTGCTCATGAAAAAATAAAGGGGGGGAGCCAAACCAAATCCCTTTCAAGCTCAGACCTGTTCTTTGGGACGCAGGCAGCTCACTGGCAGCAGGCAGTGTACCTGTTGTTCCAGGAGGCAGTGCATAAGCTGAAAATGGTGGAGCTCCCGGTCCGCCATGCTGGAAGGATGCTCCAGAGGAAGAGGGAGGAGGAGGGAAAGCAGCAGTAGGGCTGGAGGTAGGTGGAGAGACCTGGTGCTGCGCTGTGTAAAGCTGAGACTGCCCAGAATAGGAAGGAGCAGAAGATATGTAAGAGGTGTTAGGGTAAGCATTTGAAACAGAAGGAGCAACAGGCTGCTGAGGTTGATATGCTGATGACCCCCCTGTTCCGAAGATAAACTGCTGGGCTGGTTGATAAGCTACACCAAGAAGAAGAAACAGAAATTTTAATTAGTTACAAGTTTATTTAGACAACAACAGAAAACCAAATTATCTCAGTCTATGGAAATTCTTTTCATCATTCTTCTTTTAACAGTAAATTACAACCAAACATGACCATTTATAATATGCTATGCTTTTTTTTTTTTTTTGCAGTCTTTTATAATTTAATCTTGAATGTTATATGCCATCACATCTGCCATATTCTGTTGGTCAGACAGACCAACATCCATCAGGGGAAGGGACACAAGGGTATAAAAACCAGGAAACAGAGGTTACTAAAGGCAACGTTGGAGGCTCAGAGGTATAAATTCCTCAAAATCATATACAGTAACACCTTGGTTTGCGAGTATAATTCGCTCCAGAAACAAACTACTCATAAGACATCGCTCGTTTACCACGTTAAAATGTATCAGAAATGTTTGCTCATCTTGCGGAACACTTGCAAACCACATTACTAGCAATCCAAGGTTTTACTGTAATTGGAAGGAGAAAGATCTGGGTTTCAAGCCAAGATCTGTATGACTCCAGAAACTGTTCTCTCTCTTTTTTTTTTTTTTAGTTTCAGGTGTAATATGCTGTGCTTTTGATAGCTCTGTTGGCCTAAATATACTAAAAGTCATTGGATCCCATATTTGAAACTTGCCATCTCCAGAATACTGTGGGCTATGAAAATCTTTTAATCATCAGACACAAAAACTAAGGCTGACTCTTTTCTGTACCAGGCTTTCCAGGGGGATCACTTCATAAAATATATAAATGTCTAATCACTCTGTTGTATACCTGAAACTACTACTGTATGTCTACTGTAATTGAAAAATTTTTTTAAATTAATAAAATGTTTTTTAAAAGAGTGACCTTTTTCTGAGACTTCTTGTTTCTGTGAAAAGACTGCAGTGACACAGACTAGCCACCAGATGGAACCATGAAGGAATTACACATACAAAGAAATTCTGCATCCTTCACAGTAAGAATTACAGGGAGTTTAACTGGTGGCAGCTCAGGATCTCCCCCACCATAAGGATTGCAGAGTGAGCACTATTGTTATGGATCAAATATCTTCTCTAACATCTAGTAAAATCATCAGCTACTCAAATTCTGAGTATGAGTAAGTTCCAAATTATGGTGAACTCTAAGATCTTTGATATATATATAATATATCAACTATGTGCAATATATAATATTTTGTATATTGCACATAGTTGGTTAGTAAGCAATCAGGCAGCCAACTAATATTTTAATGCAAAAACCTGAGCTCAGATTAGCGATCTTAATACTATCACGTTCTGTGTGACGAACATCTACAGAGTGACTCTAAATCTAGCAGAACTTTACTTGCTCACTTTCACATTGAGCAACTGAGTGAAAAGTTGTATCAGATTTGTATTCATGTTAAGTAAGAACATCCATTTTAGCACAGAACATGCTCATTAAGATTAGTTCTTACTAGGTTGTAGCCTCTTGTTTTTGTAATACTTGTTCAGTCATATCTTTCCCTTTGAGATTTTTATTTTTTTGTTCTCCATTTAAATTTTAAAATAGTGGTGATATTTTACTTTCCAAGTGCAAATATTTTCTGAAAAAAAAAAACAAAACAAAAGCCAATGGTGGATATATGTCAATATTATTCATTTGTCAAAACTCACAGAAGGTACACCACCAAGCTAGAACCCTAGATTAAAGTATGGACTTTGGATGATCATGATGCATCAGTGTAGGCTCACCGATTTGTGACAAATGTATAACTGTAGTGCAGGATGTCGACAGTGGGGGAGGTTTACATGGGGTGCAGGTATATTGGAACTTTCTGGACTTTCCACTCAATTTTGTTATAAATCTTAAATGGCTCTAAAAAATTAAAGCCTATTTCTTTAAAAAACTAAAATAAATGGAAAACAACAAATGTCCCTTGGAACCATTTTTCCAAAAATGGTTTCTGCTATTTGCCTGAAGGAAAAGAATATGTACCAAATAATTTCTAAAATTCTGGGTTTTTTTATACCAAATCATGGCACAACTGACTCTCCTTAACAGGTCTTAGTAAAGGCTCAGGAACAAGAGCCAAGTGTCCGGACATAGGACCTCTTTGCTAGTAAGTTTGCTAGCCGGATGCTTCCTAGGGAAACCATGTTTCTCTATAGCAACGACTCAAGCCCTACACACAGTGGTTCGTTCTTTATTTGTTAAAAATGATTTGATCATGGTTTTAGAGCTTCAAAGTAAATAGTTAATACATTAGATAAGACATGCTGCTGTGAAAGGACTTCAGGGTCACACTACTTACGCTGTGGCTGTGGATAAGGTGGGACCTGGGTGTGCATATGACCTGGAGTGGTGGGAAGCTGAGCTGCAACAACATTTGGGTTAACATTTCCATGCATTAGGAAACCTGGAGGTGGAGGATTTTCTCCCTAGGAAATGAGAATATGGTAAAAGGAGGATTACATTTGGAACCAAGAATCTTACCCGAGGGATTTATAGTCTCCGACATGGAATTCTATTTAAAAAAAAACCAAAAAACTTTATTATGTAAGAAACATTGCATTTTGTACAGTCTGTCTTCTTCAGAGCACATTTTCTGAGCAATATATTCTGAATGACTCAAAATCTTACCATTTGCAACCATATGGATGGACCTAGAGAACATTACGTTAAGTGAAATAAGCCAGTGGAGAAAGACAAATATCATATGATTTCACTTATATGTGGAATCTAAAGAACTGAATAAATGAGCAAAGTAAACAGAAACAGTCTCAGAGATCTAGAGGAAAAACTGAGGGTTGCTAGATGGGAGGGGGGTGGGAATGAGGGAGAAGGGGAAGGATTAGACAGCATAATTTTGTAACTACAATATTGCCACAGGGGTTTGAAAGACAGTTTGGGGAATATAATTAATAATGTTGTAAATATTTGTAGGATGTCAGATGGACACGTCTTGTTAGGGAGACCACTGCATGGACGATGTAGAGGCTTGACCACTGTACTGCATACCTGAAGCTGATGTTGAATAATATTGTATGTCAACTATAATTTAATATATATATAGTCATGGGATGTGGAGTATAGTGTGGGGAGTGGAGTCAATGGAATTGTAATAGATACATATGATATGGGGGGGGCGGAGGATTGGGGGAAGGGGGCTGTCACTTTGTGAAAGGTGAAAAGTATAACTACTGCATTGTTTTGTACACCTGAAACTAATAAAAAAATAAAGATCAGACAGGTTCAAAGTATTAATAATAACTGCAATGAATGACAACAAATGCTAATAGCCTCATAAAGTAGTGTGAATGATATTTATAGTTAAGTCGCCAGGATTTTCCATCTCTACTAAATTCCATCCACTACTCCACACTTCGGAAATGTAAGTATAAGTGCCATAAGGGAAGTTTGCTTCTTTTCAATTTCTGCAATGCTCAAAAACAAAAAGGAAAGAAAAAGAAAATCTTCAGTGAAATCAGATTTAAACTATTGTTAGAATCTTGGTTGATGTTCTTCTAGCTCAAGTCACTTTAGAACAGCAAAGCAGGAGAGAGGGATAAGGAAATAAATTAACTGTGCTAAGAACTGCTTCTTGCATCCTGAAAGCATTCAAATGCAATAAGGAGGCAGATGGGGGTGGGGAACTCGAGAAAGGTGGGGTAGAGAATATATAACTAAACATTATTTAGGGGAGCAGAGTTGTGCTCAAAGAGGAATAATGAAGGATATACCTGTGTGTCAGAGGGACAGGCTGCAGGTGGATGGCTGGGAAGGGCGGTAGGAGTTTTGTTACTCCAGGTAGTGACAGTAGGGGCAATTCTAACCTGAATTGAACAAAGAAACACCAATCACAGAAAATAAAAAATGAAAAAATGAAAATGTTAGAAGAAAAAAAAAACAAACCAAAAGGCATTAACAGCCACACGCAAAGCAAAAAGTAAGAGCAGCAAGACAGCATCGTCAGGCAATTGCTTTCAAGGTAGCTGGGATTCCAAAAGAAAAACACACATTCACAATAAAAAGGAGGAGGGAGGCAACAGAAAAATCAATATGAAAACCTAAATCAAAGCACAAAGACAATGCCATTCAAGTGTCAGGAATAAAGGGGGAAAGCTAGGTCCTATAAGTAGGGAAGGAAAGAAGACATTCTGAGAAAAAAAGGTAATTGAGTAAAAAAGTGATTTTGAAGGATTAATAGTATTCATGCTAATATTAGATCTGTAAACATACTGCCATAAGTTCCCTTTTCCGGATTTCATTAGAGCCACAAAAATCAAATTAGTGCTATATGAGGCTTAGAATCATACAGGGAATATTAAAGAACATCCAGTCTAATCCCATTCTTGACCACTGAGAAAACCAAGGCCCGGAGGAGTAAAGGGGTTTACTGAGGTCCCTCCAACTCACTGGTGAAGGAGCTGGGATTGATTCCAGGTCTCCTGACTCTCAAGCCAGTATCTGCTACACTCCACCATGTTGCTTACCCTGGAGTCCAGAGGTTTTCAATTTTTTTTTAAAGCCATCAAAATCTTGTTTGTCAAGTAAATCTTTGTAGAAACTCTAATACATAAACAATAGCAAAGGTGTCCTGGTCAAAGTGGGAGTGGAACTCCTACAAATCTGGCCTCCCTTTCATCTCTTCAGTCCTGCCTGCAGACATTCCTTTAAAACCACAAGTCCCCGTCTTCATTCAGCACAGCATAAGCTTTAATCAAGAAAATCACTCTTAATTTATGGTTGAACTTGTGTTTTGTTTTGTTTTCTTAAAGTATGAGGCTGCTAAGTCAAAGTAAAACAAAAGTCTTCTGATGTTTCATTTTTTCCCAGAAAGACAGGTAAACCCAAGGACATAAAGAGTAAATACTCTCTTCTCCCAGTGTAGGGAACTCTGAGAGACAGTGTGGTCCAACTCAAGGTGCTTGGGAGTTCTAGTCCCACAGTGCTGATGAACTAGCCACACAAAGCTGAGCATTTCAAGCTCTCTGCCTTCAAGCTCTGGTTGGCTGCTTGACCACGCCACCTCTCAGTTTTTCCAGCCATCACTTGATCTGCCCTACCAATGTCATAGACTTTCCAAGTCTGGTTTAATCTCTACAAGAGTGGGGAATTTACTATTATGTTTACCAATATACCCCAAAAAGGTAGGATCAAGACAGGCACTCACAGTAGGCTCTCAATAAATATTTGCCAAATGAATGAAAAAACACAACAAAACAGAGAGTACTCTAGATAGTTATGTTTGAATGTAATCGATCCTAATTAAGGATAACCAAAAGTATAATAGACAAAAACAGCATGATTTAATTATTTTTTCAGTTACTCATTTTATATTTACTTTGCTACAATAAAATGTAAGAAAGACCCTGTCAATTCTATCAGCAATTTATTCTATTTTAAAATGGGCAGAGTAGCTGTTAACTTTGTTTTCAATCAAGACCATTTATTACTTATAAAAATATACTTTTCATTTAAGATCATGAAGGTTATCTGCTGATCTAGAAATATAAGTTTCTAAGTGAAACAGTAAAAAACAAGGGCCACATTTTATGCCACTAAGCATTTGGTAATTTTAATTTAATAAATAAATAAAAATTATTTAATCACCTTCACATTCCCTGTGACCTACAACTTCATAAACCTTTGCCCATTCACTTTCCAAGTTATCCCCCAAAGTTTGTTTTCTCAACTCTTTATTGTGCAGATACAGAACACACAGTAAACCTACACTAATGATTCAGAAAAGAATACTAAAAAAAAACACTATTTAAAAAAAGTATCTTACAAAATTAACCAAATCACCCACAAAATTGTTCCCAGCATTTTACTTACTTACAATTTGTTACATGATTCAAATGGTAGAAGTTTCAAGAACAGATAGATGTACATGTGTAAGGGACGTTTGAGTGGAGAAATCTTCCTTGAGAGTTTAACTTAATTTATACCTAAAATATAAGCTATTTGACCAGATTAAAGGGATGACTTTGAAAACCAATTCTTAAATACCACTTGGAAGAATATAAAAATTATAACTATTAAAACAGTACAACTGTCTAGCTTTATCATAGCAGATATGGTCTCTTACCAACAAAGTAAAACCACTAATCTGAATCGAAATACATAAATGTTCTTACTTAACCTGGACCTTATCACTCACATGGGGATAATATTGTTGAGTTGGAGCTCTTGGCATCTGTGTGTGGCCAGCAATTGGTCCAGGCCTGCCCTTGGGCAGCTGCTGCCTCTCATAGGGAACTTTAGGCGATTCCTGTCCTGGTACAGGCTGTCCTTGTGCTCTATAAAGTCTGTCACGAAGCTGCACGATATTTGGCTATGAGAAGCAATGGAAGAAAAAGCAACCTGTTAGAGTTCGCCTAAATATATGACAGCATGTTGATTTTCATGATCATTCATATTTGTTCATATACAACAGACCTTGGCACATTAGGGTTTGACACCAAAGATCAACGATATATATAGTGTAACTTATAATTGAACTGACGCAGGGATTTGAATTATGCCCACATGGTAGCATGCGAGATCAATGTCATTTCTCATTACTACTCTATTGTTGTTTTCTTGTAGCTGAGTAATGCTCACAAATCGCAGAAGTAGTTAAAAAATATATAACTGTTTCTTTGTAGGGAAAAAAAGGCCCCAAAAAAGAATCAACCTGTACAGATGGTAATGGAAGAAAACGGTGATCTAAGAAAGAGATAAAAAATAATTTAAAAAGATGTTTGAAATAAAATAGGATGTTAAACTCAAAGAAACTATACAGATCTACAATTATACAGATCTATAGTATAAGTTGACCATATACATGCCCTAGGTATTAATAACAAAAAAAGCAATGTTGAAATGTTTCAGCAAGAATTCCTTTTAATATCTTTAAAAATTATATATTTCTATAAATTCATTAAAGGTTTAAAGATATCCTTTAAACTTTTTAGTGATACTTTGTTGTCTTTTAAGGAGGAGAATTATATACTATAATGATATCATAAAGTCTCAGGACATATTCCCCAGAAACTCTTAAGGGTATAATGAGATATATAGGAGGAAGTAACATCAAAATTATGATATTTGCATAAAGAATTTTCTTTAAGGGTTCAAAGAAAAGTATAAAGACTAATGTATATAAAATGTATGTGGTTATAAGTGGTAATGAAAAGAGTTTAATTCTAAGACTAGACGATCTAAAGGACTTAGATTAAGTTAGTCTTAAAACAAAGGGTCTTACATCTCAATATAAAAATGAGACCAATAAGTAGTCATAAAACTGTTATGCCAAAGTCATCATAAGGACTGTTTCTATTCTACCTATTTTTCTCCTTAACAATTTGGAAAGATATGAGCTGGATATTACATGTAAGTGTATACAAAACCAACTGGAGATCATCATACCTCCATAGTCCTGGTACACAGATGTGTTAGTATTCAATGAAATTTATTGATAATTCCCTAAAACAGACAAAATACTGAAAACAATTTTAACCAAAAAAAAAAAAATCCAACTAAAACAGAATAAAGTTTACAATAAAAAGTATAGAAATAAAATATTTTCAAGGCTCAAAATTAAGCTCTGTCAAACACACAGTGCAGATAATAAATACTCCACTTGTGGAAAACTTTCCTCAAACCCGACCCCGACACCCACCCATGCATGCTTCATCATGGGTTTCAGGTTTCCCTCTCCTGTGCTCCCACAGCACTCCTACCTCCATCATTGTACTCTGCACTTTTGGAATCCCATGTGTACTCGCCTGTAGTCATTTTGAGCTTGGCAACTCCCTAGGGGAAAGGATCTTGGCAATCTTGTTCATCACTGTATATTCAGTCACTTATTGAATTGAATTGAAACCAATACCATGAAAAAGCCTGAGTTTTACTGCACACCAAATAAGGACACTACATTAGGAATGTAATGTAGTTCCTTCTGCTTTGAATGCTTTAAAAATATGCTCGCCCACAGACAGTATCAGAGTGAAATGGCTTATAGTATGATCTTTGTGAATATCTGGGATGACACTTACGGAAATTTTAAAATTATGACCCACTAGTTTGATTAAATATTAACATTTATAGCTTTTCAACATAGACGATTCCTACAAAGGCACTTGTACACAAATTTAGCATTTGGCTTAAGAAACAAATTTTCCCATTTATTTTCCTCAAATACTGTGCCCCTCTGTACAAAGGGATCTATTATACCACAACAGCATCCTAGCTCTCTGACACACCTAGGTACACCTAAAATGATCCTGAAGAACTGTCAGTAACATTCACGTATAGTCAGGTGACAGAAATTCAACTGCTCCAAAACATTCCACCTACTGGTATGTTTATGTTTAATACTGCATGCTATCTACTGGACTCACCTTACTCATACATTAAAAGAGGAAAAATGGCCAATTCTAATTACCTGGTTGGTGCTTTCAGGAAGAAAAGCCAAGGCTGCAGCAATACTGCCCTGGGCTGCCAACAGATTGGCATATTGACTCATCTTCTCAGCCAAAAGAACTCCTACAGTATTAGTGTCCACGGCTTGGGTAAGTTGCACAGCTTTTCGTAGGATGACAACTTTCTCAATCAGATCCTAAGTGAGAAAAAGAAGGGAGAGTAAAGGAGAAACAGACAAAGATACCAAGATGTGTATGAGAGGAATCAGGAAAAGATAGTTACTAAGATTTCCAAAACCTACTAAAAGTACAGTACCTATTATCATCTCTCTTAGAAAGGTCTGGAATAGATGACCACCATTTAGGTAACTGAAAAAGGAAGGAGGAAGAAGGTCTCTTACTCATGGATATGGCATAGGTTACCACCGTCTCCTAAACGTCTTTAAACTGACAGACACTTGTGAGCTAAAACAGGCAAATATCCAAAGAGAAACTGATAGGCAGATGTCCAAAGGCAGAAACTTGGGATCCAGCAGGTACAGGAGAAGCTATGAGTGAATACATCATACTATCTATATTATAAAAATAGTACTATTATGATGTGAACTCCAAACGGCCTTACTATTTTAACCCACAGTTTCTCATGTTGCTCTTCAATACCAATTCTTTCAACAATGGGAGTTATGCGTCAGGTACAAAGCACAAGAATATCCTACCTCTCTGCCTTTCAAAAGTACACAAATTCAGAAGTGTGAACCAAGTGTGTTTTCTCTCAGAAGCACTTAGAAGGAAAACCTTCATTTCCTACCAGATTTTCAGTCTCAACAGTGATCTTTAAAGCAATAACCCTACTGAGAAAACCTCTTTCCAGAAAGAAAAATAAATATTAAACTGAAATATCACGAGACTCTGATTAAACGCTTAGGGGGAAAAAAAATCTATATCTATAGTTAATCAGTGCCTGAGTATTACTCTTGCCTGTGTATTGATGCTGCATGGTATTCCACTGACCTCTTACTTTCATTTTCCCTTAACCGTGAAGATTCCCTATTGATATGGGGGCTGCCCCCCATTCCTAACCCCACATTGCTTGTTTCTTTGCCCAAGGCAGACAGGGTCACTGGAGACAAGAGAGAGAAAATGAGGAAAAAGAGGCAAAGCCAAGGGCTGTTTACATGCTCTGGCCACCTACTTCCCCCAATCAACTACCAAATCACAACCTTGATCTCGCAGTTGCAACCCCATTTAACTGTCCCATCATCTCAAATTTTGTCCCTCCAAATACAGCAATAAATACACATAATTATCTAGCAAAAGAACTTCTAAAATCTAAATAAGTAAGGGTGAACACAATGAACTTGTGGAACAAATCAATTCCTAGAATATAAGTAGGGTGAAAAACAACAATACTGAAAAGGAAACACCCTTTGTTTCAAAGATACTAACCTGAAGAGACAAAGGGTTACTTCCATCTTGAGCTTTAGTCCAACAGGCAACTAGTTTCTCTACATTCCCTGCACAGATATAGCAGAGGCATGCCTGAGTCTGCAAGAGGCTATCACCTTCACTTTCAAGCCTGGTTCCCAAGAGATCTACCGATCAAGAGGAAAACAAAGAAAGATTATCCCCATTGTAATCTGTATATGAGGTCGTGAGCAGCCGGATAATATTTCCAGAAGTATGGATTAAACTTCACAACCAATGAGTAGCAGGTAGAAACAAAATTCCTCTGTCATGTAAATAAAAGCTCAGTAAATATTTATTTGTTAAATGAATGTAGGTGTGTGACAAACTGTATACAATAAATAACTTCACAAAATTCTATACCTGGTTGTAGAATGTATTTTCATTAATTATATTAGGAAAACAATAAATGGAAACAATATTTGTACAGGAATCCTTATGGAAAGAATTTAACTCCTTTTCATCACATCAGATGCTTTTGTAAGCAGTGGTCTAAAATATGGCACATTTGGAATAAACATCAATGGTAGCTAGGATTACTATAAACTATAATAACAAAATTAATCTGGTAATTTTCATATTCTTATAATACTTTCAAGGTAACAAATTGTTTTTTGTTCTTATACTAAGTTTAAAGCTTTTGTTCTTGCAAATAAATATTATTCTTAGCCATCAGTTTAGTCATGGCCTTTAATGGTAATTTCTACTCAAATGTTATTATTATTAATTTTATCAAGATAACATTGAGAGCTTATTATGTGCCATTTTACTATGAATAGACTGGCTTAGAAAGTAATTTTTACTAGATCATACAGCTAGTAATTGGCAGAGGCAAGATTCTAAGTTTGGTCTGTCTGAAACCAAAATCATTAAACAGTATTATTAAAAATAATGACTAGGTATGGAGAAGTGATGTAGTTAATAATTCTTAAGAGAAGCATTCAAATGAGAACTTTTTTCTTTTTTTTCTTTTTCAATTAAAGTTGACATTCAATATTATTTTATATTACTTTCAGGTGTACAGCATAGTGGTTAGACATTTATATAATTTACGAAGTGATCCCTCCAATTAGTCTAGTACCCACTTGGCACTATATATACTCATTACAAGAACTCTTTTTTTATTTGTGATTGGTAGGTTTACAAAAATTTCTAATAATATATGTCAATTTTATTTACAATATGCCATGCCATATACGTAATACAAACAAAGCTCGTTTTCTTACCACAAAGGGCTGAAAACTCATCAAGTTTAGCGTAAGTCAATACTGCAGCTAAAGCCTCTCTCCAATTTTTAAGGTCACAAGACTCAACAATCTCTTTCCAGTTCTTCATCACCACTGCAGTAATTAGCTTGGGAAAGGAAAACACGGGAGAATTAAAAGCCTTTGGTATACTAATAAAAATTAACTCTGGCTAAATCATATCTTTCAAAACTAGCAGTATTCAGAGTATTTCATGCAGAATAAAGTAGCAGCAAAATGAAGTATTTCCTTGAACCAACTGACATAGAAGATGGTATTATTTTTCCTCAAAAAAAAAATCACACAGGCTCAAATAAACTCTTAAAGCAATACACTCTAGTTATTCTAGACAAATTCTCTAAAAAATTCTCTAACAAAAATTACACAAATATACTTTATAAAATGCTGAGAAGGAAAAATACAGAGTTGTTATCAAAACATTTAACAGGTCTGATGGACCAGGGAAAACTTTCTGAGCATACAGACACTTGAGATATAAAGTCAGAATTAACTTCATCTTTATGAAGGAAAAAAACATTCCAAGCCAAGGGAACACTAGGTGCAAAATCCGGAAGGAGAAAGGCACATGGAATGTGTGAGGAACTGAAAGGCAGCTAATGTGACTAAAAGATAACAGGGGAGGAAGTGACATGAGACAAGGCTGGGGAGACTGACAGCAACCAATGCTGGAAAGACTGAACACTGGGACAACTTTTATGGAAAGAAATTAATAACATCAAGCAGGGACTTAGAAATGTTCAGATTCTCTGCACCAGAAACTCCTTTCCTAGGACTATAGCCTCATTAAACAATTCGAAATTTGAAAAAAATCTTTAGGCACAACAAGAATGTTTATCACTAACATCTATGTTAGGAAAGTATTAGAAACTACCTGAACACCCCAAAATAAAAGAAATAATATATCCTTGCTATATATTATAGAGCAATTAAATATTTTTGTAAGAAATTTTAATGATATGGGAAAATGTTTTTAATATAAGTGACAATATCTACTAGCAAAACCACACATATGTGATCTTGATTCTGTTTTTTTAAATTCTACAAATACACAGAAAGAGGTATGATAGAATGGAACCAATCTGAGATTGAAAGGTACCAATCTGATGGAAGAATTAGGGGTTAAATTTTTATCTTTAATATTTTCTATGTTCTAGCTTTTCTGCAGTAAAAAATATGAAAAACATTTTTCATTTTAAAAATTATACAGGTGAAAAATGAAAACTGGAATAATCACACCAAATGATCAACAATAGCTAATTCTGGGTCAAGGAATTATGGGTAGGTTTTTTGGTTCTTTACTGTTTATGCATTTTAATGTCTAAAACAAGAATGCATTGCTTTTATAATCAGATAAATGTTGTTTGTTTGTTTTTAAAATAACATACCCTGGTAATTTTGCTTTGGGATTTTGCAAAATATTTTTTCTGGGTTGAAGCCAAGAGTTCTTGTCCACCTGCTATTGCCAATATAATGGCATCAGCCATACGGTTATCATGTAAACAAAGATCAACAGCACTCTCAAAGTTACCCGTCAGCAAAGCCTGAGTAATTAAACCATCAATATCTGCAATAAGAAAACAGTACACCCAAGTTAAATAAGATTTTTTGTTACAAGAAAAAAATACTACACACATCAATTTTTATATGTACATAAAAAGGAAAAAAAATTCTAATTTCTGAATATTAGTGGTGATTAATGTCTAACACAAACTTCTGAGATATATGTAAATATACTGAAATGCATATATAAGTAAAATCAAGTAAGATAACACATTTTCCAGACTCCTTAACCTAGAATAACAAAGATCATTATACAGTTTCCATCACAGAGGTGTCAGAAAATTCCACCATTTCCAAGATACTGATTATATATACTGAATGATAAAACTGTGTTCTTTTTCTCAACCCTCTACCACCTGTGACAAAACATTTCTAACTTAAACTTACAGACTATTTGCTTTCAAATGGTTTAAAAAATATTAGAAATCAAAACCAATAGGTTCTTACCCCCACTGATGGAGAGGTTAAATGTTCCTCCTGCTGATGGTAGAAATTCAGCTTCTTGTTTTTCCTCTTTAATGTGCTAAAGAGATGGAAAGGGCAACAATTTAGCCACAATGAAACTGTGGAATAATTTACTGGCAAAACAAAATTTATATATGATTATTCACCTACTGACTAGATGACATGCCAAGTTATTCCAGAAAAGTTCTCAGATCCAAGTTTACACTAAGATCTATAACTTCCGTAAGAATTAACTCCTATTATACAACCGTGAATAAAATCCAAGATCATCCGGAACAACATTAAACAAACAAGTGTACATATCCATTATTGGTAGCTCAGAAGTTCTGACGCTGAAGAATCTTTGTTTTCTTAGATACCTCAACTAAGAATAGCTTGAAACATGCAAAATGTTTTTAATTATACTATCCTTAGATATTAAAACAACCCTGCTTCTACACATCTAAACATTTCTGTCCACTAGGTTTAAGGTTTTTGTTTGTTTGTTTTGGCTGAATTAGTCATGAAAAAATAAATCACTTGGTGCCTTACATAAATGCAATGTAAACATATTGTTTATGAATATACTCCCATTATAGATTTTGTGTTCTCTTCAGTTAGTCAAACCCGGAACAGCAGATTAGTCTGGCAAAAATATATACAGTTCTGCTATAAATTTCTGAGACAACTTGTAAGACTGAGTATAAATAAATTTCAATATTTTCTTTCTTTAGAAGAAAGAAAAATAAAGAAATATTTTCTTTCTTCTAAAGAAAGAAAATATAATGGAGGCATATTGCTGACAAATACTTTAAATGCCTTCTCTTCTATGCATAAAAGTTTTAAAAAAGACAAAAAGTAAAAAAGATTACTGAGAAAATTTTAAAGAAAAACACAGCTGTCTTACTTAAGGCAAAATACCTATCTATCTTCTGCGCTTGTGTTACCTACACATCTAAATGTAAAAGCGTGTAGTATTTAAAGTCAGGAGCATTTTTGGATTGGGTAATTTTAGTGCAGAGCACAGCATAGTATCCTATGTAAATAATGCTTAATTAGTTAATATTGACTATTACAGAAAAATAACTATAACCTTAATTCTTTCCCCACCTAAAGAGAAGCATTTTAGAATTCAAAACTCTAACAAAAAATATTTCAGAACTTGAGTTATTCACTTTAAGGAATAAATAAGATACTGACCTGATTATTCACTAACAACTTACCAAAAAACCCTCTTCTTTCTTTTAACTCACAATTTTTCAAATTTGCTTTATAAAAACAATTAATAAACCTTTATTTATGGACTTCTAAAGTATTATAAAGCCAAAAAATGCACCATTTATTATGTATTGAGTATCTTCAATGTGTAATCTACTATGTTTAATAAACAAATAGCATCAGCAAGATAAAGATTTTACCCCCTCAAACAAAATTTTTTCAGATACTCTGAAAGTATCCACTGATACATACATACATATGCTTCTTATCTATTAATTCATGAGTGTATTTCCAAATGCTCCTCTATTTAATAATACATAGTTAATGGAGTTGTACATAAGTGAAAGTACATTTCTTCAATGTATCCTATAATTTTGTCTAGGTATTCCCCAAATTACCGTATTTTGCCATGTATAATGTGCTCCAGTGTATAAAGCACACCTACATTTTTGGCCCAAACTTTCAGTGGAAAAAATCTTTCGTTTTAATTTTTTAATTCAAATTTTTATTTGTTTATATTTAGGTACTTGTTTTTTGTCCTATAAAAGAATTTTGCATTTTTTTTTTTAACATATTATGGTACAAGAAATTTTATGTACTGGTAACAAATTTATAATATATATGCATCATAGAAGGCCAAGAACTCTTCATTGTTGCAAGTTTGTCGTAAGTTCAACAAAACCGATTATCGTGTTCCAGGGTATTATTTTGCATACGGATATCATTATTGATTTCTAGAGTTACACTTTTAACTCATAAGCATAAATAAAAAGATCAAAAACATTTATATAGATACGGAATTAGTACTACCCATGTATAACGCCCATCCTTATTTTTCCCTCACAAATTGGGGCAAAAAAAGTGTGCATTATACACGGCAAAATACGGTAGTTTAAAATTTTTGTTAGATTTTACTCATATCCTTTATTCTCAAGTTGAATAAATGCTAGAAGACCCACTTCTAAGAAAAACGTTTTTTGTATAATTATCTTGTAATAGTCTAAATTTATTGATGAATTATGTGAATAACTTAGTAAAAGGCTACAAGAAACATTTCATAATTCGGATATCCCCATGTCACAAAGAACAATTAAAAAGTCAAGGACGAGATGAAAAACAATAACCTATGGATTAATTTTCCAAGATGAAATATAATTAGAAAGCAAGAAAAGTAATTTCAGAATTATTTATTAGTGGTTAGAAAACCCCAGAAAATTAAAAGAAAAATAATTAATGATACAACCCTGTGTTCAAAGACTCTTTTAACCTTTTCACTGTGTTAATTGATTTCAATTTTGTTTTCCAAAATGTGTCAAAAATCCACAAGAATGTAACTACAGTATTTATATTTTTAAGTAAATACAGTTAAGGTGCTACATTTTATTAAAATAAATGATTAAAGTATAAAAATTTCCTATTGCTATTCATTCTTGAAAAACACAAAAAATATAGAAAAATGTACATCTGCTTTCCTAAAAACCTCCTTTCTGGAACACTGAGCTCCTCAGGTAAAGTCGAACACCACAGTCAACGGCATGGAAATATCATTCAACTATAGACGAATCTCTCAGCAAAAATATTAAACTTGTTATAAAAACTGTCAACTAAGACTCAGAACACATTTATAGTAAATCATGACAATCAGTTTATGTAGTGAAGTACTTTTCACTTGGACTCAAAGTTCAAGAGACTAATTCAGAAGCCTATGCTACTGATAGTGGGCCCTGAATATTAATATGCCAAGAAAAAGACATGAACTTTAGATGCAATACGATGCAGATTTTGGAATAAATTCTCTTTTCAGTTTGACATCATACTATCCATCTGACCAAGTTAAGTCAATCTCACATCAACTGTTAATTTTAAAGCATGTAATCCAGAAGCTAGGTCAGAAAGCTAAAGATTTCAGAGATGATACTTCTGTCAAACTAGTAAACAGACTCCTACCCTAAACATCTCTAAGGAAACATATACTCCAACTTTATTTTGGAACAAGTAGTCAAGAAAATTTTCCATATTTCAATGTGAGATCAACAAATACCACATATTTTCCCAATGTAATTAAAAATGAAAAAAATAAGTACCTCTCCCAAGAGCTGCTCTTCGGCAGCAGAGCTCTCCTCCCCATCACTCTGTGCTACTTGGTCAGAGTCTTTAAGAGCCTTTGGTACACAAAACAATTACAGAGGAAGTTGAAGAATGCAGCATTAACAGGTTATTAGTGAACAAGGAAGACAAAAGACCCAATAAACAACACTCAGACCTAGTTTAATCATTCGAAGCAACAGCAAGTCAATTTACATGAGAAACACCATTAGAGGAGAGGCAAAGAGCCATTACTGCTGAAACCTTCTCTTTCTTTCCCACCACATGTCCCTCATCAACAAAGATCTTCACTTGAAATATCTGAGCAGTCATTAATTTTAGCTGTCCCCTTTTGGGAAATTCAAATTCTAACAAGGGAAAGGAATGCTCTACCAGCTAAATTTATACCATTTTTAAATGAGAATTATTCATTTAGTAAAATATCTACAATCAGGACTGAGCTCTGGTCAATGTGAAGTGGGCAGAGGGATGCAGTGCTTCCAGTCCTGGCCATGAAGTTCCCCCGTGGGATTCCCTATTTTCTCTCCCTTCTGAAGCTTGCTTAGAAGCCACAGCATGGATACAGCGTGGATCCCTGAGTCAGCACTTGGAAGAACTGCTCAACTGTCAATGGAATTTGGGTAATAAACCTTTCTTTTTTCTTTTGAGAAATAAACCTTTCTTTTGTTAAAAAAAAAAAATCTACAATCAGCATTTATTTTACACTATAAAGCAATAAAACAGACAATTTTTCTTAAACGGCATTTCTTTCTTTGCTATCACCTAAACCAAAATTTTAGAAAGTAACTATTTTTAAAGGCCTTCTTACCACATCGGGTCCATCCACTTTGTTCAAGGCCAAAGCAATCTGAAATAAAAACAACAACTCACCTACTAAATGGAATTCTAGTTCAAAGTATATAGCAAACGTTCACTTCTTACTCCACTCTCAAAAATCCACAAAAGTTCAGATCAAGGATAGTATGTTTAAGAAAAAAACAAAATCTGTGCAGAATTCTCAACGGTTCTATCTAGTTTCAATCACATGGAATTGCACTGCTCATTTGTCATCTCACTGTTATTAAACCACAAAACTAATCTGAAAATAAGCCAGTTTCCTTCTACTTTGTTTTAAATAAAATAACTATAGTTAATTTTTAAAAATATTTCTTCAGGTACTCACTATGGAAAGAACTGCAGAGATATTTTGACAATCAAATTCTATTTCCTCATTTTTTGCTATATGGTATGCAATAAAACTTTCATATTAATCTCTTCCAAACCTAAAGAAGTTATAACATCAAGAAGTTTAGACTAACAATAAAGCTCAATATAAAATTCTAAAGGAGTGATAAAGACACACAGCCAGTAAGCAGCAGGGCTGTGAAGTGATCCCAAGTCTGTCTGACATCACAGGGGCATTCATCTTCCACGTGCTTGGCACGCCAGAGTGTGCAGTGTCCAGCCTGTACTATGTATGCTGTAACCCTGCAATGCTACAGAAAGCTTTAGTCATTTTCAAAGAATAACAAGGGCTAATGTAAATTACACAAAGCATCTACAATATTTCCTTCAAGGTCTCCAAAGTCAGACTGTTTTCACTGCTGTTCATGTCAACATTGTGGAATAATAATTAAGACACTCTTTGAGACGAAAACTATAAAACTGAAATATAACTTCCTATTTTTAAAAAGGAATCTTTTTTTTTTTTTTGAAGTTAAAATGTTAAGTAGGGGGGCGGCCAGATGGCTCAGTTGGTTAGAGCGATTACTCTTAACAACAAGGTTGAAGGTTCGAGTCCCGCATGGGATGATGGGCTGCGCCCCCCGCAAATAGACTGAAGACAAGGGCTTGACTTGGAGCTGATGGGTCCTGGAAAAACACTGTTCCCAAAAAAAATTTCTTAAAAAAAAAAAAATGTTAAGTTGGAACAGCTGGTTAATCCGGTTAGCTCAGGTGATTAGAGCGCAAGGCGTACTGCTCATAACACCAAGGTTGCTGGTTCGATTCCCACATGGACCACTGAGGTGCACCCTCCACAACTAGACTGAAACAACTAACTGACTTGGATCTGATGGGTCCAGGAGAAACACACTGTTCCCCAATAAAAAAAAAATTTTTAATAAAAAAATGTTAAGTAAATCACTTGGACTTTTTATTTATTCAGGTTCAGTGCAATAAATCACTCTTGTTCCAAAATATTTACTAGTTACTTGTTTGCTGAACCAACTTAATACACAGCTTGGGAACTGTAGTCTAAAGGCATAAATAAATACCCAGGGTGGAAAATGTGATAGCTTGAAACAGTACCCTTTTTTTCATCACCTACATAATGAACATGGGGTGATCTCTAACAGGTCCCCTCTCTCTCTTCTCCCAAGGCCATCAGTTACACACCCTCTTAAAATCTGTTTCCAGTGCTTGAGGTTCACAGGTCTGTTATCTTTCAAGACCCAGTTCTCCCTGACACAGCTCTTTAAATCAAGTTTGAATTGAAGGTGGTTCTAGCAGCTTCTAAATCTAGGTATAATATGGAATTCCACATTTTACAATATGTATTCAAAACTTTGGCAACCAAACACAAATTCTTACTGTTTATTGAATGACGAGATAATCTATGTAGAACTTAATTTTTTTAACAAATCTATGCTAGGGCTGGCCGAGTGGCTCACTGGCTGAGAGTTGGCTTGGGACGCCAGCTCTGAGCAGCAGAGCCCGGTTCAGATCCCACATGAGAGCTAGTGACACTGCGCCCTCTACAGCTAAGATGGTGAACAACAGCTCTACCTGGAGCTGGGCTGCCGTGAGTCGCTGGCGACAGCGTAGGCTGCAGTGGAGCTGCAGTGGGCTACCGTGAGCAGCCAGCAGCCAGTGTGAACAGCTGGCAGCCAGCGTGAGCCGCCGTGAGCGGCTGTCCAATGGCCAGTGACCAATTTGCCTCAGCCAGGAAGAGCGCAATGATCACAATACCAACATGGGCTAGTGAAGCGATGTCCTCCAGAACTAGACTGAAGAACCAAAGGGCAGCAACTTGTCTGTTCCCCTTCCCCAATTCCCCAATACTGTTCCCTCCCCCAATTCTCCAATAAAAAAAAAAATCTATGCTATATAAATATCTTACTTGTATAAATAAGCACAACCTATTAATTTTTCCAAAAGTTTACCTTCTTTCCTAGGTCTTCTTTTCTGTATCCTAGAAGTTCAAGGTATTTTCCACGAGAATCATCCTCAAAGTTTACCTTTAAAAAAAGACACATTCTTGAAACAAAGACCTGCATATAAAGCCTAATTTTTAATTAACTGATCAAATTTCAAGTAGAATTATTAAAAATTTCTAAAGTCTACCATATCAACTAGAAGATTCATTATAAGAAAGAATCCAAAAAATAGGTTTTTTTAATAAGCCACTTTTTTTATAGTAAGTATACTAGTAACTATCCTGGTTGAATAAAGCTTCCTTTTAAACTATAATTTTTATAAATATAAACTGACTCATGTCCAAAGTTCATATGAATGCAAAACTCACACTTTGTGGAACATTCATCTTAAAACTCTTCCCCAAAATTAACACTTAATTACAAAATAGAAAAAAACAACTCTGTAATTTTAGAATTTAACCTTATTGTATTCAAGATCTCTTTTCCTTGGGAAATTCAGTATCAAGAAACAGACATTCTAGTGGAGGCAAATGACCAACCAGAAAATTCTATTTGTTACTCTACTGTCATAAATACAGCTCAGTAAAAAGGATGAGAAATGCCTCCAACCTCTCTGCTCTGTACCTCTTCCGCCTTTCCTCATTTTCTGTAACTAGATCTACTACAGAAGTTAAATATTGTATTTTTTATTATACTTACATTTTTATTACACTAACCTCTATGTTCTAATTTTAAAATAAGTCTGGTGAATATTATATCTCTCTCACTTAAATACAGTATATTGTTTGTACTTATTAAAAAAGTACTTCAAATTAGGCTTTTCAAAGCAGACATAAAAGGTTATCTCATGTACTTTTTATAAGTTTTTTAAAATTTCATCCTGAGGTTCATGAAATCACATTCTTCCAATTGTTTCTTTAATAGGAAGACAAATTTAGAATATAATGGGAAGTTAAATTTGCAGATAATGAAATAGAATTATTTTAATACCAACTTTACCTTCAAAAAGGACCACACATTTTTTTCAAACTCCGTCTGAGAAGCATCAATTTTTTTCTGACAATAATTGACAAATCCTTGTGACTGCACGACTTGCTGAAGTTGGTCCGATCGGCTGAGGAATTCCTTTTCTGTTACAACCTGACTGATGAACACGTGCTGGGGCTGCTGCTGCTGCTGCTGTTCAGTTCCCTGCTGAGACTGCATTTTGACATACTCAAAGGTAACCAGTTTGCCTCCAAACTATAAAAGAACAAATTAACAAAATCAGTTTGAATCAAAAGGACATGGTCAGAGAATGCGCTTATTGTAAACCTGCTAATGGAAAAAACTGTGGCCTAAATATATACCACTTTGGATAAAATTAGCTGATACACTTTCCCATACTCTGCAATGTGACCCCAGCCTTCAATGATTATTCCTCTTCACACCACTCACCTTCTAGGTAAAATGTACTACTTCTGTGCTCCACAATTTCTCACCTACTTGATTTTACTAACTTCCACATACTCAATGTACCTCTCCACAAGGCCTAGGCAATATCGCCGCTTCCATCCCAGATGCCCTCAGTGTATAACGTATCTCATTTTTTTTTTTTTTTTTTTTAGCTGAGCCATCCCGCCACCTGTTGGCAGCTCA